AAAAAAAAAAAAAAAAAAAAAAAAGTAGGAGCTTGGGTGGCTGAGTGCAGACCCCGGGCTCGCTCCCTGTAACTGAAGCGGTGTCTTGTAGGCATAGAGTCCTGTCTGCACATGGTTTATGCTGTGCTAACCAGGTCTACTTTAGAATGCCCCCCTCTTCCCTCTTCTCAGATTCAAGTTTAGGCCATTTGGAGGGTTTATGTCAAGGGCAGTGGAAAACTGATGAAAGATTTTTTTTTTTTTTTTTTGAGTTGGAGTCTCACTCTGTCACCCAGACTGGAGTGCAGTGGCTGCTCCCGGCCACCGCAGCCTCGACCTGCTGGGCTCCGGCGATCCTTCCGCCTCAGCCTTCCGAGTAGCTAGAACTATAGGCGCGCGCTACCACGCCCGGCTAATTTTTTTTTATTTATTGTAGAGATGAGGTCTCACCCTGAACGTGCCTGATTTCAGCTGATGAAAGATTGTAAGCTGAGGTGTTGGTCGTTCTTGCTCCTATGTAGAAAGGGGCTCAGAGAAGCATGTGTGCTAGCTGGGGTAGGGAAAACCTCCTTGTGCAAAGCAGAAACTCAGTCATAAAGGAAAATATGAGGGGGATCCAAAAAAAATCTCAAATTTATTTTTGGAGGGTGGGACTTCCCTCACTAGGTAATCATTCTAGGAACCCATTGGTGTGCCAGCTAGCATTGTTGTTAGAAGCTGTGTTTGGCATCAGTGATATATATATATATTTGTATTCTTTCTTTCTTTCTTTTTTTTTTTGTTGGAGTCTCACTCCATTGCCCAGGCTGGAGTGCAGTGGTACACTCCCGGTCACTGCAGCCTTGCCCTGATGGGCTCTGACGATCCTTCTGCCTCAGCCTTCCAAGTAGCCGGAACTATAGGCACATGCTACCACACCCGGCTATTTTTAATTTTATTGTAGAGAGGAGGTCTCGCCAAGTTGCCCGCTCTGGTCTCGAACCCATGGACTCAGGCAATCCACTCGCCTCGGCCTCCCAAAGTGCTGGGATGACAGGCTGAGCCACTGAGCCCAGACTGGATTCTTTCAATGTGTGTGCCTATTTCATGATGGGTGATATCGAATGTACCTGCCCACACCATGCTGAGTGTTCAGCAGTTTGTTTTTTAAAGCAGGATTTATCAAGAGAACAGAAAGGCTCCCACAGTGGGGGGGGCACTTGAAGGGGTTGCCCACTGCTTTAATTTCTACAAAATAGATTCTTCAAAGTGGGATTGTTATGTCAGAAATATGTGTCTTTAATTGAAATAGATAATTCTATCACCAGTTTGTAAATGCTTCTTTTTTTCCCTCATACCATCTCTAGCTAAGCCAGTGAGACCCTCTTGCTGAGAAGCTAGATTGAACTGAACCACACATAGACTGACCATGGGGAACTGATTTGTCCCAGAGGCAGCATCTGATGATACGATAGCCACAGATGCATGCCACCCAGGTCCTCATAACTGCTTCCTGTCCTTCCCCAATGAGAGTTCTCCAGTTTTCTCTTTGAGTCTGTGAGCACCCTGCTCCCGTCACCACCCTGTCAATCAATCTCATCAACAATTTTTGGCATACCCTTAATCAGATGTGTTTCTGTTGCTTGCAACCAAACTACCCTGATAGTATTCAGAGACAGCTGGAAAGTTCTTCAACTCATCCTCTTTCCTGGTCTTTGAAGCTAGGATGGCATCAGTCACTGGGCTTCAGGACAGCTCTGGCCTATGCCATTGTTTGGGCCTAATTGTCAATAACACTCATTTAGTTTCCTGGCCTGACTGATCAGTTATACAATCAGCCTGTCTATAGTCACCTTAGCAGAGGGTGAGGAATCATGAGTTATCTCCGGTTTTGCTTTATCTGAGCTGTTTCCCCAGCACAGTAGCAAGGAATTGTCTGTCTACTAATGTGCTGTTTATAAAACTGGATTAGTCCCTTGATTTGATAAATTACCCTTATTCGAGGCTTGCTCATTATTACTTTTGTGGCAAAACATGGATTCTTTAGGCCAGTCTCCTCCATAATATTTTGAAGAGGCCCTTTGGAAATGTATTGAAAGTTTCAATTTAGCTCTTTTGTCTTTTAGGTGCTTATTGCTTCCCCCCTGTGTAATCGCCACTATCATTCATGAAAATGTTGAATCCGGTAAGTAGATCAGCTTCACAGGAAAGCAGGTAGTGGAGAAGAAGCACTTGGTTGCAGTCATTTTACCCAGTTCCACGTGGGCTGGGCCCGGCACCACTGAAGACCTCAAGCATTATTGGCTGACTCTGCTGTAAGGAGTGTGTCCAGGCGGCACCATCCATAAAGCAGTGTGGGCTTGCTCTGAGCCAGCCATTGTTCACCTCTCACACCTCAGCCGGACTGCATCAAAGCTCAGATTCCACAGTTTTAAGTCACCAGCCACATTCTAGGCACTACACCAAGGCCCATTTCCCCAACTTTACTTTATACTTTGAACAACTTTGGACACAAGATTCTATCATCAGCACCATCATCGCCAACATCATCATCACAACCACCAGCGTCACCATCACTGTCATCATTGTCATTGTCATCATCCCCATCTTACATACGAGAACTGAAAGCCTCAAGAGGTTAAGCAACGTGCCCAAGGTCACACAACTAGTAGGTGGCAATGACGAGATTCGAACTCAGCTTTCCGTTCCATGGCCCACCGCCTCTCTACCTCTTGTCCTAGATCCTAAATTCCCACTGGGCCTGGGTGACTTCGGATCAATTACACCCATTTCCATGGGTCCCTCCTGGTACCTTTTTCCTTGCTAGGTTAGTCATCAGCCTAAGGTTTACATCCATGCTGGGTATTGTCCTTCTCCCTTAAGGAAATCACTGACATTCCTCTTAGGTCCTCAAGGAAATTTCTAAGTAAATGTCCCTGCACAATGACTCAGCAGGTTCACTCCTGAGTATGTCAATTGAAAGGCAGGTGTTCAAACAAAAACTTGTTCATAAACATGCATAACATCACTATTCACAATAGCCAAAGGGTGAAAACAACCCAAGTGTCCATCAACTGATGAATTGAAAGACAAAAGGGGGTATATTTACACAACGGGACATGGTTCAGCCTGTTTTTTTTTTTTTTTTTGGAGTTGGAGTCTCACTCTGTTGCCCAGGCTGGAGGGCAGTGGCCACTCTCGGCCACTGCAGCCTCGACCTGCTGAGCTCCGGCGATCCTCCTGCCTCAGCCTTCCAAGTAGCTGGAACTACAGGCGCGCGCTACCGTGCCCGGCTAATTTTTTGATTTACTGTAGAGATGAGGTCTCCCCAAGTTGGCCAGGCGGGTCTCGAACCCATGGGCTCAGGCAATCCACTCACCTCGGCCTCCCAAAGGCATGGCATTACAGGCTGAGCCACCGAGCCCAGCAATGGTTCAGCCTTAAAACAGAATGAAATACTGGTACATAAATGAACCTTGAAAACACTGTGCTAAGTGAAAAAAGCCATTCACGAAAGACTACATATTGTGTGATTCCACTTATACACAATTCTCAGAATAGGCGTCCACAGAGTCAGAAAGCAGATTCGTGGTTGCCAGGGCACAGGGAAAGGGAATTGGGGAGTGACAGTTAAATGGGCACTGGATTTCTTTTGGGAGTAATGAAAATGTTCTGGAACTAGACAGTGGTGATGGTTGTATAACACTGTAAGGGTACTAAATACCACTAAATTGTATACTATAAAATGGATAAAATTTTATGATTTGTGTATTTTGCCACAATTTTAAAAAAATCACTGCCCTAAATTACCACAGTTTAGCCTTTCTGTGAATAACAAATTAGGAAAAGAACTTAAAGAACAGTACTTGAAGCATAATACTATCCCTGCTTATGGATTCTTTAGTGCTACCAGCAAATCAATACTCCTCCCTAATTTTTTTCCTCTGGTTTCTCTTTTTCTAGATCCAATTTCAAATTAATTTGTAGCTTGAGATCCTAGGTCTACAGAATATAGCATTTTTGCCCTGAGAAGATGTCTTGTGAGAAATATCAGCCACATTTGAAAATTAACCAGCATTGTAAAATTTGTCTCGATTTTCTTTCTGCTAGACAGTTTGAAAAATCTGACATTTATAGAGGTTGAAAAAAATTTTTTCTTTTCTTTATTTTTTAATTTATTTATTTATTATAGAGATGTGGGGTACAATTCAGGGTTAGGTATACAAACGTTGATCATGCAGGTACCCTTGTTGATGAGGTATGCCCCTCTCTCTCCTAGCAGTTTCCCTCAAATGACAATTCCACGTCCCTCTCCTGACAGTTTCCCACTATTGCCAATCGTTTTCTCATAGCATTATAACTGTTCACGGTCAGTTCCTTTCTTATAGTATTATAATTGTTCAAGGTTCACTTATGAGTGAGAACATATGGAACTCGGTTCTTTGTTTCTGTGATAAATCACTGAGCATGATCGACTTTTCCTCTTTCTTTGATGACCAACCAGCGCAAAGCCCGGCTGGAGCGCCGGACAATTGGCTCAACCAACCGGTGGCGTTTCCCCAAACAGCCCTTCTCTGGAGACCTGCTGTCACTTTCCCAAATGTGCAAGGCACTGAACCTAGACTTTGACGAAGCTCTGAAGGACCCAGACAGGTAGGCAGATCAAGGGCCTGTGGTAGGGAGTGGCCTGGCAGGGTGACCGGCATTCCTGGGAGAGAAGGTGTCTGATGGTCGGGCCACTCTGATGGACTCGAGGGGCTCCCAGGGGCACACCTGCGTGAAGGCTCCTCTTGGGACCGTTCCTTTGGCATGGACAGAATCAGAAATGGTGGGTGGTGACAAATGTGCAGATCGACCTTTTTTTCCCCAGATTTCCTTCACACTGAGAACTCTGGACCCTAACAGGATTCTAAGTTTATCATCCAGGGACCAACAGACATCTTGACAAGTAAAACGTGGTTGTGGTGCAGCATATGGGCACCTCACAAATGCCCATTTCTACCCATCAACTGACCCTCCCTCAATCTCATGGCATCTGAGCAGCAGGCTAGATCACTCCTTTCCCACGCTGTGAGCTCTCTCTTGCCTCTCCTGGGAACACAGAACCGAACCCTTGCTGTAGCCTGTTTGTGTTGCTATAGAGAAATACTGGAAACTGGGAAATTTATAAAGAAAAGAGGCTTGTCTGGCTCAAGGTTCTGCAGGCTGTACAAGACTGGCTGGCAGAGCTGCATGTGCAGAGATCACATGGCCAGAAAAGAGGCAAGAGGTAGGGGAGGTGCCCCTTTGCCAACAGTTCTGTGACTTTTAGCTAGTGGCTAAACCTCTTTGGACCTCAGTTTCCTTACCTGTGAAGTGGTGATAACAGCACCTCCCTCGAAGAGTAATCTTTTTTTTGAGGTGGAGTCTCACTCCGCTGCCCAGACTGGAGTGTAGTGGCCGCTCCCGGCCACCGCAGCCTCGACCTGCTGGGCTCCGGCGACCCTTCCGCCTCAGCCTTCCGAGTAGCCGCAACGACAGGCATGCGCTACCACGCCTGGCTGATTTTTTTAATTTTTATTGTAGAGATGAGGTCTGGCTGCCCAGGTGGGTCTCGAACCCGCGGGCTCAGGCAATCCACTCACCTCAGCCTCCCAAAGGCGCGGGATTCCAGGCTGAGCCACGGAGCCCGGCTCGAAGAGCCATCTTAAGGATTGGGCCAGGTAATGTATCGAAAATGCCTAGTCCTGGCAAATAGTAGATGCTTCACAAACAGCACTATCTTAAAGCCTGAGCAGCAGTTTTGGCCATCGATCCTGGTGATTTCCTTTGGGGGCGTGTCAGCCCTGTGCTCTGCCAGCCAACGGCCCCATGGCTTCCCTCTGCCTCTTCGCACCTTCCCCAAATCAAAGCCCCTCAGCTCCAACACAGCAGGTGCAAGGAACTGGTCTGGGCGTCATCCTCCTAGGAGAAGCTCTGCAGATCTACCTGCTCTTTTTAAAAAAAAAAAATTCCAGCTTTCGCCGGGCTGGGTGGCTCAGCCTGTCATCCCGCGCCTTTGGGAGGCTGAGGTGAGTGGATTGCCTGAGCCCGCGGGTTCGAGACCTGCCTGGGCAGTGAGACTTCATCTCTACAATAAGTCAAAAAATGAGCTGGGCATGGTAGTGCATGCCTGTAATTCCGGCTACTTGGAAGGCTGAGG